TCCCAGCCCCCTCCAGTTCCACCGCTTTCCTCTATTTTCCCCAATTCGTTTTTAAACTGTTCATCAGGGCAACATGTATCTGGGATGCTGGGACCCGTTTTCCAGCAGATTTTGGTCCCCACCAATGGAATGGAGCCATCACTGCTGGGGCCCTACTTATGGGGGTTGCTCGTAGCACCCCCAGATGTAGCGCCCCTGATTCCTGAACTGGTGTTTCAAAAACAAGGGGGGGAAAAGGAACCACCATTCCCACATGTAACCCCTTCTCTTTTCCTTGGGTGATGGGGGGAAGACCCTTACCTGCATGTTATCTGCGCCTAGTTTCATGAAATCCCCTGCCATTATGTACCTGAGTGCATCCCCTCTGGTGTCCGCTCGACTGGTGCTCCTAGTGATTGGGGCGAATACCTTTCCAAAGCGCTCTTTGAAATGCTTTTCAATCATATCAGCAAGCATTTTATAAAACCATTCACGATCGTCCTCGTTTGTCAATCTGTCATGAAACACTCGCAGACACTCGTGTGCCCATATCCGAGTAAGCTTGTCTGTGTCTTCAATTCCAGCAGGAGCATATCTCATACCCAAGAACACCTGACATCCGAAAAACCCCAAATTGTCAGAAGACAGGAGTATCATCGGCCTTGGAATAATTCAAAACAAGCATCTCAAGAGGCATGGAAGGCATGTATGTTTTTTTTCCCTTCCTGTTTTTCAGGAAAGCATACAAGCACTAGACTCTGCCCAGTTGTTGTTGTTGTTGTTGTTGTTGTTGTTGTTGTTGTTGTTGTTGGCTGGGTGTGTTTGGTTGGATTATGCTTGGTTGGGTGTGGTATGGGTATGGTTGGGATGTGCGCGTTGTCAGGGCGGTGGTTGTGGCGATCGTGCTGGTGCTAGCGCTGGTGCTGGTGGCAGTGGTGGTCGTGATTGTTGATGTTGTGGTGGTGCTGTTGGGTGTTGTGGTGGTGGTGTTGGCGGTGGCGGCGGTGGTGGTGGTGGTGCTCGTGGTTGTGGTAGCGGTAGTGGTTGTGATGCTGGTGATGCTGGTGCTGGTCATGGTAGAGATGGCGGTTTTCATTGTGGTGGTGGCTGTTATTGTGGCAGTGGTTGTTGTTGTTGTGGTTGCTGTTGCTGTTGTCGTTGTTGTTGTTGTTGTTGTTGTTGTTGTTGTTGTTGTTGTTGTTGTTGCTGTTGTTGTTGTGGCGCATCTGGCGGCCGCCGGAGGCCGAGTGCTGCCTCCGTGTTTTTTTTTTTTTTTTTTTTTTTTAAGGGGGCCCAGTGTCCAAGGCTCATATTTAGAAATTTGAAAACACGACAGACACATGCCTCTTCCCATTAGGGCTGGAAGAGCATCGGCCACTGCTCCCATAGAGACAGATTCCCTGTACAACAAGAATGAAGAATGAAGATTTGGCACTGAGCATTGATTGCTTCCCCGGGAGTGCTGCCTCCATGTTAACCGGCGCGAAATGGCAAAATCGCTGGGAAAGGTACTGGTGGTTTAATAATTGGGATGATGCAGAGAAGATTAGCATGGCCCACTTGCAAGGATGACACACACAAACTGAGAAAATGGTCTAATCATCCAGCGGCCTAGCTCAGTTGGTAAGGCACACAAGTGGCATTCAGGAGGTCTTGGGTTCAATCCCCATCGGCCTCATGTACCTTCCTGGGCATGCTTGGCACCCGCCACCTAGAGATAGCACGTTGGTCCCCCCAATTGGCATTAAAAAGCAGTCTCTGCTGTTGTTCATAGGGGGAGGGGTAATCGGGGAGGCACAGCGACTGGCCACTCAGATGATGCTCGGTCCCTCTGCCGCCGGCTGTCCCCTGGCCGTTGTCCCCTGTTGGGGGTTCCCTGAAGGCAATCAAGGTCACCCTGGGCTGAAGAGGCCACCCGATGTCAGATTAGACACAATATTGAATTTACCTGGGCTGGTTAGTCCGATGATAATACCTCAAGGCCATCGCCCTTTAAAAAATATATATATATAAAAATTGGTCTAATGGAAAAAAAGAAAAAAGAAGAAGATGAAATGGAGAGAGAGAGAGAGAGAGAGAGAGAGAGAGAGAGAGAGAGAGAGAGAGAGAGAGAGAGAGAGAGAGCACTTCACGTAGAAGAACAGCACGATGTGTGCGACTTTCTTTACTCTCGCAGACGACACAATGTGCAAAACAAAACTGCAACCATCCAACTGAAGTGGGAAAGCGTCAACACTTGCCTTGCCTATATCGCGGAGGTTGAATGTGTAGTGAGATTTGGCTGGAGTGGGAAGAAGCTCCTTTTGAACAACCTGGTAGATGTCAAGAGTCCCATTAACCATGGGTAACTTCAATTTCACCACGCTTGCCGGATATTGTGATTTCTTCATCCACCAATCCACAAGGGTTGAAAAGATCCTGAAGGAGGACATGCAATTGATACAAACTGACCAAAGTAAGCATAGGTATTATGGGAGCGATACAAAGCAAGTTCGCGAAAAGCGCAGTTGATCGCAAAGGCGGCAGGAGCATGTTCTTTTGATACATTTAACAATATGTCAGTGATGTCACACCTTTCAGACAGCAAGAACTAAAGGAGAGAGTGATAGCTGACTTAGCCTGGCTAGAAGACAAAAGCACGATAAATCAAACAGACGACATGCTCTTTTTTTTTTTGTTTTCTTTTGTTTTTGTTTTTGCAATCAGACTCTCTTTCGTTCACACTCCACATGAATGTAAACAGGTTGTGCAGCAAACTGGCGACAAACGCCCACTCAAAACTCAGAGATACAGTAAACACGAACACAGTTCAGATACAAGCTCACTTCAGATGGTTATGGCGCACCAGCGCCTGTACAACTCTCTGTTCGTCACTCACCCAACTCTGCTGTTCACACACGATCACCCTTGATATCCCACACACGTCACACTGTACACACACGCACACACACACAACACCCTTCTCTCAGCTATGGCGGCTATGCCGCTACTACCTCTACTGCTATGGCTAAGCTCTCCTTCTCGCCCACTTCGTCTTCAGGGAATACTGCAGACCACCACGCACAAGTCGCTGTGGCAGCGCTTCCGCATGGCTTACGCAGGAATGAATGAATGGCTGGGCGCTGCCTCTTGATTTATACTTCTATAACTCGTTGGTCTGCCCCTTTCCCATGCCCATGGTGCACACAGTCCCATACGGTACTTGCTTGACTGGACTAGGACTGACTGGGACTGGGTACCGCTGACTCAGCACAGGTGGACTCCACCACTTGCCCACTTGCTTCTGGACTACTGTAAACAACGAGCGAAGGGCCACTTCCGGACCTTCCGGAAGTCTGTGGACTTGGCCCTTCGACACTGTAGCAGCCACGACCTCGACCTTTCAGAAGTCCTACAGCTACGACTTCTGGGACCTACTAAGACCTACAAACAACAGGTCTACAGATCGAACCCCTACCACCTATGGACCCTACGACAGTCTACCAACTGTTACGAATACACAGGTCATGGGTTCAACTATCAGGTCGACACAGATACTGTACACAGGTAAGTTGAGGACCAGAGATCGAGCCCCGGCCTAAATTCGAGGTCCTCCGAGGTCCTCTGAGAATAATTCAGTCTTTTTTTTTTTTTTTTTTTTTTTTACAGATCCCTCTAGTGCTAGCGATGCTGATAAGAGCAGCCACCGCTAGCACCTGGGGGTAGGCTCCATCTATTGGTGGGGAGCATCACCTGCTGGAAAACGGGTCCAGCGTCCCTTACAAGCATGAGACAAATGGAACTCATCAGAACACTTCTGAAACCTAGGAGGAGCCTGCCAGCATTGATTACCCTGGAGACCAGGGGATTGACTGAGCAGGATTGACTGGTTGAGCAGGTAAGGCTGATGTGTCTCGCTTTTTGCAACAAAAGCTGGAGTGCATACTACTGTTGGACCACCACGAAAGCCAACGGCAGGAGCCTCTTCACCTTGTGCCCGGCGCCAGATCTCTGCTATTGTTTACAAGCTCCGCTGCCCCTCTGTCCAACAGTAATTGCCTGTGCCGCCGCTTTTCCCATACTCCACAGACCCTACCCCGCCGTGTCTAGCTATCATTCATCCTCCATACCACTGCATTTCTACCAGGCAGTTAGAGGGGGGGGGGAGTCTGGGAATTCGTCAGGAGGCTTTAGGGGGATGACCGCATCCACACTAGTCCAGTCTTTGAACCTAAGGCAGTGGTCTTTTACTATCACTCTGCTTTCTTGGACCGGCCCCGATTCAGGGGGTTCCCCTTTCCATTCAACCTTCCCTATCCTCCCCCCCTCAGGTCCCCCGAGCCAACATGAGCTGAATTCCTGGATTTTACTCTGGATGTCTTCCTTTCTGTCGAGGAGTCTGATTCGAGTTTTTACCTTCTCCCATTCCGCGGTTATTTCAGTTTGAACCTGTTGCTGTATGCTTTCCGTGAACTCGGGCCCTTCCAGTCTGGCCCCCTCCATTCCGAAAGTACAGCGTCTTCTCCAGAGCGCCCAGAGGACCGCCCTTCGTCCCAATTTGAACATGTTGATGGTGAAGTTGTCCAGCAGATCCGGCTGGTCCGGCTGGTCCGTACGGCCTGAGGGCCAGATTTCAAGCAGGATTGCCTTCCAGTCCCAGGGCCACGGGGCTGTTGTTTCCAGCTGCCCCCAAATTCTGTCCCACCACCTCCACAGCCAGAGTGCCCCTGGGCACTGCAAAAAGATGTGTTCGATTGTCTCCGAGCGTTTTCTGGATGGGAACGAGTTAATGCATAACTTGCACCATGGGAGGGCAGGACCTCGCTGTTCCAGGGAGGTTCTATCTATCAGCCAGTTATTAGTGGGCAGGCAGCGGTGTTCCAGTTGCCATTGAAGGGAGGCGATTTTCGCCGGTTTTGCTTTGGCCATCTTAAACCACTTGACCGGCCTCAGATCATCTGCTCCAACGTTCAGGTGATTTTTCCAGCATTCCGCAACCTGATGGCGAAGGTTCACAGTTGGCCTAAGCAACCTATAGGTGGATTTGACCGTCARGCCATATAGTGTCCTGGTGCTTCTCCTTCCTTTCCAGCGGGTTGTCCATGTCCACTCCAGTGGATCCAAGGCCAGATGTTGGATGGGGGAGCCGGGCTGGAAGGCAATGCTTTGTTCGTTCTCCTCGAGGACTCGAATTCTGAACAGGTCTTCTTTTTGACACTCAATGGTTTCTAACGGGTTGCTTGTTGAAATTATATTGTCCCGTCCCACTTGGAAGAGTTTAACTTCCACCCTTCCTCCCGAGAGACAGCGTCCCACCCTGCCCACTTCTTCTTGTCCCCCTGTCACTACCACCCAATCCAGCTTGTGCAGGGTCGGACCTTTGTGGAGGATCCTCCACCAATCCAGGGGTATCTTCTCCACTATCGCCTCCAGGGCTTCTTGTGGTCGGTGACAATACCTCAGTCTTTGCCGTAGTTGATCAGGACTTATCCAATCTTTCTTCTCCATGTCCCAAATGTCCTTCACTCGCATTACCCCTCGCCTTATCCATCCTTGCCAGGGGGAGTCCATGCAGTGGAGAGTTTGGCCCCTTGAGCCCACTATCCATCTGTTGCCGAAAAGGGGTTGCCTCGCTACTTCCTCCCATCTGTCTGGTGAGGTTTTGTCCGGTAGAGGGAGGCCCCTCCATGTTTTGAGGAGTGCGTGCCAGAACGGGTCGTTTCGCAAGTCGTCCCTTGCGGCACGTCTGGGAGGGGGGGGGTCGAGGTCCTGGTGAGCCCGCCTGGCCCTTGGGATGGACCAATTCCTGTTTTCGAGCCACGTCCGCGGGTCCCCGCCTGGTGTTGTCTGTGGTGCTAGTCTGGATATCTGCTCTGGGGCCAGCCCTTTCCAGGAGATGTCCGGATCAAAAATCAGACGTTTAATCCATTGTACCCCCAGTGCTTTGATATGCGCCGACGGGTCAAGAAGGCCCAGTCCCCCTTTGGTTTTAGGCTGGACCAGAGAGTGCCATGCCACACGATTGATCACGTTTACTTTCTCGTGGTCACTCCTCCATAAAAAGGCTGTTATCTGCCGCTTTAATGGGCGCAAGGCGTTCTTGTCCAGGGCCCAGATTGCCGACTTGTACCATAGCGAGGCCAGCACCACATTGTTGATGATTAAGGAGCGTCCAAACAACGAGGTGTATTTATTCTGCCAGAGCGCCATTTTTGCCAGGGGGGGGGCAGTCAGTCATTCATTATTGCTCGATGGCCTTCCTTCCGCCGTCATCGATACTCCTAGCACTCTGATGGCCGCATCTTCCGGAAGCCATTTAAGCCTGGGATGTTCTGGAGGCCTCACTCCTTGGTGGTGGATCCACCATCCCTGGGTTTTATTTCCCCAGTTTACGCACATGTCTGAGAGTTTACAAAATCGATCCATCATACGTTGGATTTCTTCCAATGATTCCCAGGAGGCGTCCACCATCAGGGTCAAGTCGTCAGCAAACAATGAACAGACTGGGATTGCCTCCTTGGGTATTGCAGACACTTGGATTCTCTTGATGTCCTTATGGGTTCTGAGGTTAGTGGCTAACACTTCCATGATTATTACAAATAGATACGGGGCTATGGGGTCCCCTTGTCTGACTGATCTTTGCAGACTAATGGGGGGGGCCAGGTTGCCATTAACCATGACTCTGGTAGTTGCACTGGAGTGGAGGATCCTAATCCATCTTCTAAAATCTAGCCCAAAGTTGAGCTTTTGTAAGCACAGGTCTAGGAAGACCCAGTCCATGTGATCGTACGCTTTTTCGAAGTCGATGAAAATGATGGCCGCATTATTTTTGGATTGTCTGGCTAATTTGATCGTCTCATTAACCAGGAGAATGTTATCCTAAATGTTCCTGCCCTGGATGAAACCTGTTTGGTCTGGGTGGATGATGTCCGACATTATCGGTGTCATGCGATTAGCTAGTGTTTTAGCCAACATCTTGTAAACCACTGTGAGCAGGGTAATGGGCCTGTAGTTTCTTATATTAGTTCTTTCCCCTTTCTTATAGAGGAGCGTCAGCACACCTTGCCCGACCAGCTCCCCAGTCTGTCCCGTGTCCCAGACCTCATGGAAAAATTCCATGAGGTCTTGCGATATCTCTAGCCACATAGCCACCCATAACTCCTTGGGGAGCCCATCTATGCCTGGTGTTTTCTCGTCCTCCATTTGCGTCAATGCAGTCCATATCTCTTCTTTCGCCAGGGGCTTGTCTAGATTTTCTCTCTGCTGATCTGTGAGAGTTCTGGAAAGCGGCCGCAGGAAGTCTTCGATTTCCACCATGCGACAGTGCATGGGGAGCTTCCCGCACTCCGAGGTGAACAGGGTTTGGTAGAAGTCTCTTGCTATCTTTGTGCAAGCGGCTGTAGACGTGTGCAGGGGGCCTTGCTGGGCTTTGGGATCCTCCAAGGCCTCGATTACTATCCTCCCTGATTTAGCCTTGGCCATGGCAAAAAACCTGGCATCCATGGCCCCCTCCATGTTATGTTTGGAGAATCTCCCTCGGATCCGCACGCCTTGCCATCTGTACTCCATACACTCGACAAGGTGGGCTTCTAGAGTCTAGACGGTTCTAGCTAGCTCCCCTTGCTCCTCGTCTGTCACGTTTTCCTTTCGTTGTATATGCTGCAGTTGTCGCTGCAGGTCCAGTTCTTCAGCATGGCGGCGCGCCGCGAGAAGTTTAGAGTATTCATTGCACTTGCGGCATATAAAAGTCAGGCCGTTGTTGAACCATACGGTTTTGTCATGGATCTGATGTTTTTGTTCCTGCCAAAAGGACCATACCTCTGTGAGGTAGGTCTTGAACCGATCGATGCTCAGGASAGAAGTGTTCAKCTTATAAAAGCCTCYACSCTGATCCRGCTTTCTCCTGAAGGAGAGAATTGCCACACACATCGCATGATCCAGACCCAGGTAGGGGCTGCGAGGGAATATCTCTGCTATCTGAAGTGCCCCCTATATCTCGTCTGAGATAAGTATGAGATCTATCCTTGACTTGGACGCCTTTTCCGTAGCATTCTTGCGAAAGCAGCTGAAACGACGGTCTGTGGGGAAGTGCCTACGGAAAGTATCAAAGAGGTTGAGTGATTGTGATAGTTCCGCAATTATCTTCTCGTCATTTTCCACGTAGAATGGGCAGCGAGCCGGGATCTTCCACCTGTCCAACCAGCGGTCCGGTGTCACATTGAAGTCTCCCACCAGGATCACCGGGATGCCCACCGGTAGCTTGGGTTTGAGAGATTTGAAAAAAGTTTGACGAGTCGACGGCTCGTTGGGGGCGTATACATTCAGGATACTTACCACCTCGATTTCCAGCATTGCCAGTAGGTAGACCCATCTACCCTCTTCTCGGTCTGCGTCCCAGTTAAGCATTTCGACTTTGGAGTCCGGCGGGAGCCATATGGCCACTCCCCCGTTGCCAGGGCGTGGGGCGTGCGCCCGAAAGGCTTGGTGGGCCCATAATTCTTTGTGCTTGTGGTTGTGGTCGGGGCGGTCCATGAGGTGGGTTTCTTGCAGACATATAACGTCTGGCCACGCCTTCCCGTCGACCCCCTTTAATTGGTCCATTATTGCTTGTTTCTTAGGTCCTTTTGCGGATGCAAGTCCGTTCACATTTAGCGAACGCAGGTCGAGGTTCGCTTGCCTTTTGCTGAGTTTCCAAGTTCTGTCCCTACCGTACAAGGCATCCACCACATCCATCCCTGGAGATTGACGTTCTGACTACCTGGTTGTTGATCACAAAGTAAGCCAGCTTTCTGTATCCAAGAAACCGCCTTGCTGCAGTATGCCACGTCTAAGGATTTTGACCAGGAGGTCCCCAATTTCATTTGCGGACCAGAGGTCTCCTGCTTTTATTTTCAGCAATTGCAGGTCCTTGAGCCCTTCGTGGTCTAGCCACCGCAGCTCGTCGGGCAGGACCTTTACCTTTCTTATCCGTGATTACATCTGGATCTGAAGTTCGGTGTTTTTTTTTTTTTTTTTTTTTTTTTTAACAAGAGTTGTACACGTTCAAGGTAGGGCAGTTGGCATTTCAGTTGAAGAGCACAGGTACCGTCCCACCTCATCTCAGGGTTAATGGCTAAGAGCATCCCGCACCGGCAGACCTTAATGGTATCCAGTTGCGCAGGCCTCAACACCTCATGGGTGTACCGACTGAGCTAGTTCCGTTGTTAATTGATTGATAATATTATTAAACCACCAGTACTTGGCCCAGCTATAGGCTGCGGAAAAAAATAGAGTAGAAATGTCTCTAGTCGGATGACTTTGGGTGCTCCTGTAGTGGCCCGTACGTTTCCTGAAATCGTGGCTTCTTAACGGGCACAACTTTCGGAAGTACTGGCGGTTTAAGTAACAGAACGAGTAACTGGCCTGTTTTTAATATATATATATACATATATATACGGTTTGCCAAAAAAAAAAGAAAAAAAAGTAATTTGAGTTAGAAACGTTTTCTGGTCAGATGAATTTCGGCGCTTCTATAGTGGCCCGCACATTTCCTAAAGTTGCGGCTTGTTTACGGGCATGACTTTAGGAAGTACTGGATTTGATGCAAATGCTGCTCTAGCGCTAGCGCCCTGATGCCGGCGGACCGGTAGGGCCCAGTCGCCCCGGCTCGACTGGCTACTGGGGAGGACAGCTCCCCGGCTGCTGGGCCTGCGCACATGCCCGATAGGTGCGAGTGGTGTGCTGCCACGTGGCACCTGTTGTCTGGTGACGTGGATGTCCCGTGACACGTGAGCAGGGGTAGCGCCAGCCGTGGGATTGACAAGTGGTTCTGAAGAACTATGTGAGTGGCGCAGGTGATTGGGCGAGAGATGGATTTGGTGGGCGAGCTACAACATCGAGCGGAAGAATGGCTTATCATACTGGAGGAGGGATGCAAGCAGCTGTGGACGATAGTTGGGGTGCTTACGATGCGGCAGCAGGAGGGGGAGGAGATCGATGGGGGGGCGATCTCCATGGATCAGTGGTTGGAAGACAGGACCCAGGAGATGCTTGATATCATGTGGGAGCTGGAGGAGGGGCCGGATCCCCGGCTCGACGCCTACATCGACTGGAGGCGGGCGGATGATAGGATGGGTGCTTGCAAAGCCCTCTTTACAATGGGACGCAATCTTCGTAATCAGCTGGAGATTCGAAAAGGAAAGGGCGAGATGGGCGACAAGGGCGACAGGGACGTTTGGGTGGAGGGTGGAGTGGAGGCTGGCGAAGAGAATTGCGGCGACAACACTAACAACAGCAAGAACAACAACAACAACAACATCAACAACAACATCGGCATCAAGGATATTGATTGCGACAACAACAACAACATCAATGACAACGACGGCGACAACATCAACAACAACAACAACAATAACAACGATGACGGAGGCAGTGACGATCATGGCAGCAGCAGGGCAGAGAGTGGTGCCCGTGCATCTGAGGTCATCATTAGCATGATGGCTGAGATGCTGCAAGCGGACGTGGTGGGGATTGGGGCTGACATGGATACGGGGTTTGCTATCTTCCCCCCCTTCAATGATAACGACGGCGACAACAACAACAACAACAACAACAACGATGACGAGGGCGGGGCGACTACCACGGCAGCAGCATGATGGGACTGATACCGCAGACGGACGCGGTGGGGATGGGGGTTGACACAGGAAAGTGGTTTTCTGTCTTCCCCCTCTTTAGCCTCGATATGGAATTGCTTCCCGTTGTCTGCCAGAGGATAGGAGTAGGATAGTCAGTGATGATTGGAGTTCCCCGGCCCGCAATACCAATCAACACTGGGGTGCTGATCACCCTGGGGGTTGGAGGTGGGCTGTTTAGGGATTAGGTTGCAGGAGGTCAATCCTTCCCTTGCACAGGGAAGTAATCAATGCCCCTGACAGTTTCATAAGATAATGCATAATGGATGCAGGAGTCGACGTCCAGATTATAGATATCTCATCGTGGATTGTGCTTCGTGTTCAGGCTTGATTGATAAACACCACATGCAATACATCATTGTAAGGGTTTCATGATTAGATTGGTTGATACAGAGCACATACATCATAGTTTTGTTAGGTTTTCATTCGTGCGATAAATAGTGAGTGACAATAATACCCAAACATATACAAACACATACAGACAGATATAGGATGCTTGGAATATACATTCATCACTGTATAGGGACGCTGGACCCGGTTTCCAGCAGGTGCAGCTCCCCACCAATAGATGGAGCCTTCAACCCTGGGGCCTACTTACCAGGGATGCTCTTATCACCTCGGTAAGTAGGTTTCTCCCGCTCAGAAGTAAAAAAAAAACAAAAAAAAAACAGAAGAAGTACTGGATTTGAGAGAAGAATGTAGCCTAGTTAAAAAAAAAAAAAAAGAACCCCCCCCGGGCCCCAGGACCCACTAGCATGGTATTATACGCCGGAACAGTGCTGTGTGACGCAGTTTTTTTTTGGCATTTAAAAAATGGTTTCCACAGTTTCTTCAGATATAAAAAACTCGTTTTCAACTTTTCAACGATTTAAAAGAACGCCAAAAATACAGATCTGGGTGCTCCCATCAGCCAATGAATGGGCTGGGAACCATCAAATTGGTCGCCTCTTTTTCTGGACAAGTGATTAATTCAGCCACTGGGCTGAGTCATCTGTAGGTCGTCACTGTCAGACCGTTATGGCGCTTTTCTCACAGTACACACAACTTTGTTTTCTTTTTGACTGCGAGTCCTTTTTGTGCACACGATTCACTGTAGGTAAGTCCGGAAAACACCCCCTTCTACCTCGGGTAGGGGCTGTTTTCCAGACACTCCTACAGTGATTTCGAATTAATAGAAAAAATGCCAAAAGTCCATAGGGTACACGCTATGACACAGCCAAAACCTTTTCATTTTTTTATGAATCTCTTCAAAACTCGGAAACCCACACGATTCCCCCCTCCATCGACAGAGTGTGGCCATCACCCCGTGCCACACGCGATTGAAAACCTTGGCACGGTGGTATAATACGATGCTAGTGGGTCCTGGAGCGAGATCCCACTAGCCATGTATGTGGACTAGTGTGACGGTGTGGGACGAGTGAGGGACAGCTGGGTCGCAGCGTGAAATAGGGAAAATAAACATAAAAAACCATTTCATGACCAAACAAATGAAGAAAAAACCTAGGTGGTTTTCCGGGCGCGCGGGCACCCAACTTGTGCCCGGATACACGCCCGGAAGCCCGGCCGGGCATGACCCCCGGGCAGGGTCCCGGGCAACCCCAAACGGAAGTCAAAAAATTCCCGAAAAAAAATACGTTGTGTAGAATTGCAATACAAACAACTTTTGGCTGAGGGTCACATCAGAATTCCTCACGGAATCAGAGATAAAAAAAGAAAGTAACAAAATCACACTAAAGGACCCCCCTTTAATCCCTCTTAGCCCCTTTAAAAATAATTTATACCCCCCTTGACCCCCATGACAGCCAACTCTCAAAAAATGAAAAGAGCCCGGATTTGGGTTCCTCTGGGAAAGCGCAGAAACTGCCAGAAAGGCAAAAAAAAAACTTTTTTTTTTTTTTTTTTTTTTTTTGTGCACGCCCGGGTTCTCGAGCGTCAGACCCCCCCGGGCATCGCGCCTGGGTGCTCGGCCGGGCATGAAAAACTTCCTACGAAAAAACTGCTAAAAACGAAAAGAAAGTGCTCTTCTCACAGATGGTGTCTGCTCCAGGCAGGGTGTCAGATGTCAGGGTATGATTCTCTGACCATGGCTGTGGCAGTCAAGACGACTGCATGTGAGTGGGCACACGGACCATATTCATTGACAATAGTCTGAAGCTTCCTTGAAATAGGCCGCAGTGCACGCTGTTTGGTTGTTCTCACAGAAACTCTCTTCGGCAAAGGAGGGCAAGCGTATCTCCATACACCATTTGCTGTAAGTGAGGGGATCGAACCCTCCCAAACACCTCCCAAACCACAATCAATTTCCAGCGATGAAGCCATCTGTCTTTGCCTTCGCCGTGAATGAAAAGTGCATGATTTCATGAACCAAAAAATTGGTCTCGATTTCACGCACCTTTGGGACTGCCACAGGACCCCCACAGCAAAAACGAAAGAAAAACCTACCAATGGGAGAGCAAAAAAAACATCATTTTCCCAGGCTTAATTCACCAAAACAGGCTACCGCTGATCTCCTGCCAAATCCACAATGCCTGACGGTCACACACCTTAAACACTAATCCACATACACTCCACATACATCGGTAGTGGGATCTCGCTCCTGGCCCCTGATGTCCCAAAGGATGACACGCATAAATTGAGAAATGGTCCAGATTAATAATAATAAAAAAAAAAACAATAATAATCAATGTTAAATAATAATATAATAAGGGATAATTTGTAAAATACCCCCAGAAGTGGAGATATACGCCAAAATGCCCCCTAAAAGATGTGGGTAGAGCGGAATGCCCCTCTGAGTCTCCGACAAAATAAAAATAAAATTTGTGAAATACCCCCGGCGTCGGTTGGACATCCATCTTTGCAATATACCCCTACCCGGTACCGTCCAACTTTGCAAAATGCCCCAGCACTTGCCAACTTCTCCTAGGTGCTATTGCAAAAGGCCAGGGCCCAAACGGGAAGGTCCAGATTGCAAAGTTGCACACCCACCTGACAGGGGCAGAAGACAAACATTTCGGCCCAAAGGGACATTCCGCTCTATCAACATCTTTCAGGGGCATTTTGGCATTTATCTCAACTCATGAGGGTATTTTGCAAATTATCCCTAAAAATAATATGACCCCCCCCCAAGGGCCCCCACCAGTGTTTCATTTCCTCCAAACGGCTGGAAAAAAAAAAAAAAAAAAAAAAAGCCGAGATCTTTGTCAAGATTCGTCATGTTCCGACAACATGCACCACCAGAGGAATGTGCAGGCTCCAATATATTTATTCGGCGAGGCGGATGCAGCAGTTCGTTTTTTCTGCTGTTTTTCTTTTTCTTTTTCACAGTCACAATCCCGTTTCTTTTTTTTTTCTTTTTTTTTTCTCTCTTTTACTTAGAATCTCAAAAGAATCTCACAATCCCGTTTCTCATCTTGTGCGAAAATGCCAAAAAAGCATTTGTGAGGGGGGAAAAACTGTTTGTTTTTTTTGTTTTTTTTTCAGTGTCACAGGGCCAAGGTCCCACTAGCAAGGAGGATTGGATTAAGCTTCTGAATCTGGATGTGTTCAAGCAGAAAAGCGGTTCAATCTCTCCTTTCTGCACCTTTTTTTCCCAACAAACACGTCCAGATTCAGGTGTTTTTATTTTTTTATTTTTTTTTTAACAACAGCCCGTATGGGAGATAGGGGCGCTGGTACGAGCAGATGCCTCTATCTCCCCCGGGGAGGCTCCATATATTGGTGGGGAGCAACACCTGCTGGAAAGATTCAGGTGTTCTGTCCAATTCTCTTTGCTAGACAAAAATGAACATTGACCCTCCTCCTGAGCTCATTCTCACTGTTAACTTGTGTGTTTAAGTCTTTGGAGTTGGAGTCTGGACTGCCGAGGGCACACTACACGAGGGTTGTTATGGCACCTTGACATGACTTCGTCAGAGAAGGCAGCGATTGAGATCACTGTATAGTGACGTAGGTAACGATTTGTGACATCATTGCGACCACCTCCTGGGGGACCCATGGCTGCAAGGAATTGAACATCTACGATGTTCCTGAAGAACAACTCTTTCCTGTCATACCTGCAAAGACCAAGAAGGAAGAAGAAGAAAAGAAAAAAACACCAAGAAATTGAAGAATGTTATTATCAATTTGTCAACAAAAAAAAAAACAAGAAATTCAAGAATGTTATTAACTTATTATCAATTTATCACAATTCCCAGACCATAAACAGATGTATTAGAACAGTTTGCAGTTTAAATTTCATGTTTCCACATCAACCTGGGCACGTTAAGACCCCAGAGGCCAGTATCAGAGACCTCACATCTGTCTTTCTCTCTTCTCCATCATCCACAGTCCCTGTCCATTGCACTCTTTTCCTTTGCTGTGTACATACAAAAGAGAGAGAGAGAGAGAGAGAGAGAGAGAGAGAGAGAGAGACAGAGAGAGAGAGAGAGAGAGAGAGAGAGAGCATTGTCATGGTCTCATGCGGTAATTGTTGGTTGTTCCAAATGGCTGCTTGTATATCAGACTGAAGAGTTTCAACTTCAACAAAGATGTAAATGTGTGGTCGAAAAATTGGAAATCGATGAAAATTTGAAAAGGGCATCATTAAACTGATCAGAACAGATACTACACTTGATCTTAGCTTTCGCTATCCATCATCCTCCCCTCCCCCACTGTCTCTCCACCCCCCGCCTCATTCTCCCACCCATACATGCGATCGTTCATCCGGGGTCCCTATCCTCGTACGGCCTGCCCCCCTCCATTCTCTGCTTTCGCTATCCATCACCCCCCCCTCCCCCACTGCCTCTTC